TATAAAGATTATATACCTTTCAGTTCTTCAAAAGAAGTCGTTTGAAGTGTTTGACACATTTGACCCCTGTGACCTTGAAAGAAGGTCAAACTTATTTTTATTCTCAAACTTTGTTGGTCTCTATCCCAGGAAGCCACCAGCCAAATATAAAGTTCTATACCTTTCAGTTCTTCAGATGAAGTCGTTTAAATGTTTGACACATTTGACCCCTGTGACCTTGAAAGTAGGTCAAGGTCCTTTTTATTCTCAAACTTTGTTTGGCTCTATCCCAGGAAGCCATCAGCCAAATATGAAGATTCTATACCTTTTAGTTCTTTAGAAGAAGTCGTTTGAAGTTTTTGACATGTTTGACCCCTGTTACCTTGAAAACAGGTCAAGGTCATTTTTGTTCTCAAACTTTGTAGGGCTCCTACCAACAAAGCTTTCAGCCAAATATCATGACTCTAGGCCTGTCCATTCTTCAGAAGAAGTTGTTTAAAGGAAAAGTTGACGGACGAGGACGGACGGACGCCGCGCCACAGCATAAGTTCACTTGGCACTTTGTGCCAGGTGAGCTAAAAAGTTGGGGAGTATGCCATGTCTACCACAGGCACATGTACATCAGACACAGATGACAATTAATACATTATAGACTGGCATCAACTCACACTATGAAAAAAAAATATCGATTTTCTGAGAAAGTCAATACCATTTAATGAAAACTTACAAGATTCAAGGTGAATACCATGTTCAAGATTTCAGACTCTGCCTGATCATATAAGATTTGTTATTGACTGTTTATACCTGATTGAGGTCCAAGGCCTCCAGCACATTTCTGCTGTCACCTTTAACAGGGGAGCATTCAGAAGACAACCTAAATACAAAACAAATAAATAAATAAATGGGTTACATCATTCATATATGCAGCATTGAATCTCCATGATCGAGGAATCCATGCTAGTGAAATTCAAATTAATTCAACTGAACTTAGAGAGTAGTTTTCGTGGAACGTATATTGGGCCCCATCCCTATGTTCCCAAGGTAATGGGCCATAGCCTTTATTTACTGTATATGAACTTCCCTTGGCCAAGGAATGCTCTATACTAAATGCGGTTCAACTCCCTTCATCTGAGCTAAAGGGGGAGTCCTTTTTTAAGATTTTTCCCCTCTCCATTTCCCCTATTGGACCTGTCCTTCTATTCCTGGGAAACACTTGTACACCTTTTATTTATAAAACGTTGAATTTTGTTGACACATTATCAAAATTCTTTCATCCATTCAGGACTAGCAGTCTTTTAAAGAAAAAGTGGATGACATAGATGACAGCCCATGGCCACAACATAAACTTATTTGGCCCCATGGGCCAGGTTTTGTTAAAAAAATGTGCAATTTACACAAAAGTTGAGGACAATATCATTGATTTCCCCCATTTGTCCCGGTGATGCTTGATGACAAAATTCCTTCAGCTTTTCTAGACACGTAGCTTCTTAAAGAAACAGTTGTTGATGGACAAACTGAAATAGACACCAAACTAGGGCATATTTCTATTTTTAGAAGAAAATTGTCAAACCAGAAAGCCTGTCTATTTTGAATCAAATTATCAGTTTAATTGAAATTGAAGTAGTCTGGTATAAAGTGATTTCAATGTGTTAGGTATTCACCTTTTACTAGGGCTGGATGCTGTGGAGGAGAAATCTGTGGAGGTCTCCATGGAATCCAGCTGGGCATCGGGGGGAGGGGTTATAGGTCTCAGGAGTTTCTTTTTTGTCTCCGGCGTGGATGGGGGTGTGCCCTCGTAAATTGGCCTCTCAATGGCCGAGTGTTCTGACCTTGAAGTCTTCAGCTTAGGTTGCGCCTTGTGTTTGGGGGAGGAGTCACCGTTGTGAGGGACAGGTGGAGCAGGTGCCCGCTGTTTGGATTTTGATGGCAGCGTGTTGAACTTCTGAGGCGTGTTCTGTTGGCTGTGCTTCTGGGCATCGCTAACAAGCCTCTCAGAGAGTGGACTAGACATGCAGAGAACTCGATCGGGAGGGGTAGGGTCGTCAAACGGATTATAATCTAAGCTACTGGATTTACTGGGAGCAGTGCTGCTGCCTATTTTACTACTACTACTGTTTTCCACTCCTTCTGTACTGCCGGCCTTACTGTCCACCCCCTCAGAACTGCCGCTATCCTCAAACGGATTTAAACTCTCCTTCTTCACAGACTTTTTCTTGACTGGTTCTACAAAGAGATACAACAAACTTTAACCTGCGATTAACATGAATTCAACATCAACTTTATTTCAGGTAGGTTAAACAAGAGAAGGGGCAAGCATTAGTCTGATATTTGTTAGGTTGCAGTAACTCTTTGCTGACTTTTTTTCTTGGATAGTGGAACAAAGTAAGAGTTGATTGGGTAATGTAACAGTAATATTGTAAATCTAACAGTAAAAATATTTGCCATATAGCTAATACATAGTAGTTCACAGCTAGTCATGTACGTAAAGTTGCAGGCTGTGGGAAATTTTAAAACATATCAACTTTCTGTAATAGCATTAATATTGATATTTTTTAGAAGGGGGTTGAGGTGGAGGGTTGTTGTTCGTGTTTTCAAGTTTGAGTTGACCTTTTTTTGGAGTGATATGAACCAGGTATGGTACGAAAACAAAACTCAGAAAACAGTAAAACTGGTCACATGCAGAAATTCAAACTCTAAAGAAAAGGAGAAAAAAAGAACAACAATGAAAATTAAATCACATTCCCTCTAGATCTGTTGGCTCAAAAATGTGTTTCTTCCTCTAAGCTATGGCAGGAAAGAGAAATAACAACATTGGTTAGCAGTTCCGATTTTACAAGATTATCAGTGTGTAAAATATAGCATAGAGTAAAGCATATGATACATGTACTAAATCTATAGTCCTTAAGGAAATTCCTGAGTTGGAGTTTATCTTAAGGATTAATCCTGTCCCACTGCAGATAAACAGGAAACAGTTCCAGTGTAGTTTTTCATACATAGAGTAAGCTCCTCTTAATTTCGTATTGGATGTGCATGTAGTGGAACTTTTAATCAGGTATGGGCTTGTTGGTTACACTGACCATTAAAAGATTGGTGGTCCCCAGTTCAAATTCTGGTCTAGCCCCATACACTATCAGAAAACTGTTGTTGATATTTGTTTTTCCAAATCCAACTTTAGTTCATAATTTTTTCATAAATGTCTAGCAAAGTATGATTTATTTAATTTATTATCAGTCATTTAAAGGTTCCAATAAATTGTAACCAGTTTAGGTAGTGGTATGGGAATCCTTAACTTATTCACCCCTGAAGACACATTTGAACTCTTCCAATTCAAAAGTTGGAATAGTTCATTATGAAATTTCAGGGGTCAATGAGTAAGGGTGTTTCTTGGAAAGATGTGTTACTGTTATACATAATCATTGATACACTGCTATATATATTCATTGTCAATCTAAGTCTTTCATGTTAAACAGAAAACTGTAATCTGATACACAACCACAGTTATCTATTTTATATCCTGATCCTTTAAAATTAAAAATCTATACACTAATATCAAAAAAGAATAATAAAACAAAATGCAATCTTATCTAAATAGAAACAAAATGTTGTTTTTTTTCCATCAAAATCTGACAGTCCCAAAAAAGTGTCCACAAAGGGACAGACAAGATGGACAGACAAGATGGACAGACAGGGAAAGTCGAGGACAACCTGTCTCATGAATACAAGCACTCCAGTGTAATTTCCTCATGGGGCGTTAGTAAATAATCAAGTCACCTATCTATTACTTAGGACAGTTAACAGAATTCAAGTTTGGAAATTAATCTAGAAAGAAAGACTTGTGTCAAAATCAAGAAGCATACCCTTATTAATTCAAACTGATCCTGAAATCACAACTCTCCCTAGAATAGCTGACCTATATGTATTTTGATTCAAAGAAATAAAGACACTAGATGAGTAGCACTGAATTGGAACATTAAGGCGCTCACAGCTAGCATTCAACAATTCTAGCACTGCCGAAACACGTACTTATTTACAGCTGAGTAGACTGGAACAAGCAGAGTAAAGTATTTTGATTAAAGATACAACACAGTGCCGTGCATTGACTCAAACCGTGACTTGAACCCGCAACCCTTCAGTTTTGAGCCCGGCGTCCTACCACGGGACTATTGTGTGCCTCCTCTTAAACATACACACATATCAAAATTCACTGTATTAACTTGCATTGATATCTATACTAGTGCTGGAATCCCAACTGACCAGCTCATTGGTGTTCAAGTGCCCAAAACCTGACACAAGGGACACTGACTGTAAAATATTGATGGATAAAAACAGCAACATTTCATCAAGATTTCAAGCAGATAGACAAAAATGAACAAAAAGGGAAAAAGAAACTGAAGAAATACCAAACCATGCTTCATGATCACCAGTACACTCCAGATCAGGGTCACCAAAGGGATTGGAGTCGGGGTAAAACGGATTACTATAATCTTCGTCAAACGGATTACCATCGTCCATGTCGTCGAGTTTAGACAACTCTGACGTTATTTCTGATATTTTTGAGGAGAAGCTTTTATCTTCGACATCCTCATCGTCGAGTTCCTCCAGGTTACCGATGTCAGCCCTGCCAATACTCAGCATACTCGCCACGCTCTGCATGTCCTCATCTCTAATGGAATCAAAATATCAGTAACATGTGTTAGTGTAATGATAGATAAGAGAAATGTACTTTTTGACAGAGAGGATACTATTTCAAACTAGGGTTGAGACGGGGGGGATTCCCCTATTCATAACAATGGTATGACATCACCTCAACAATACAATGACGTCACGTCAACAATCCATCAACGTCACGTCAACCCTGAATTAAGCATGTAACGTTATCATTATATTGTGTATAAAATACACATTGGGAAAACAGGGTAAAAGAAAAAGAATCATTCACCCCCTTGGGGGTGAGATAGAGGAATCTCAACCCTCGGGGAAAGATTCTTAAGTTGCCAAACACACGCCAAAGCTTCTTGTTTGGCAACACAAGAATCTTCCCCCTCTGCTTGAGATTCCCCTATCTCACCCCCAAGGGGTAAGAGATTCTATGAATCATATATCCCTGTGTACGGTGCCAGAATGAGTAGACACCATATATACTAACGTGGCCTTTCCCTCGCGTAGGAACACACATGACAGTGTAAACTGTATGGACTACATATATACTAACGTGGCCTTTCCCTCGCGTAGGAACACACATGACAGTGTAAACTGTATGGACTACATATATACTAACGTGGCCTTTCCCTCGCGTAGGAACACACATGACAGTGTAAACTGTATGGATGCGGACACAATCTTCCTGGTCATGGGCTTCAGTTTGAGTTTCATGGTGTGCTGGGTGGGGACTTGTGTGGCGAAGTCCTTCATGTTGATGGGTGCAGTAGCGAGTACCTTCCTTCTGCCTCCACGTGAGTACTGCCAACAAAACAACTATATTAAGTTTCCTTAAAGCTTAATGACACAATACGGTCATAATTTACAAATTATTTAAAACAGAAAAATATTGTGATTTTAAAAGATTGCCTTCATGTAATATATATAAACAAAAAATGCTAATATTTATTAAAAGATTTTGTTGTAGTGATTGCATTAAAATCATTAAATATAATTGACTATTGCATCGTTTGAGGGCGATATTGTGATTTGTTCACCTCAGGTTAACAAATCTTCATATCTCCCTCATACCAGGGTGACAAATGTATGATATATATATTCTCACATCTTCAATAGCAAAGACCCATTCCTTGTCCTCGAAGTCGGGATGGTTGTGGTCCCGGAACAATGTGACCTGTATCTCCACATTTTCTGGCACTGTCCATGTCACCACACCTCGGTATGGATTCTGAATTGTCGGCTCCCAGGTGTGTGGCTATAGATAGGCGAATGTACATGTACAACATAGGCAGCAATGAAGACCTTCTTTGTAGTTGCAACAGGTGGGTAGAAAATCTTAGAAATAAGATAAAGATCTACAAGTTTGAAAACTTTGCATCAGAATATTGCTGCATTTAGTTAATAGATGCATTATTTTTTTTTTTTTATCTGTAATGAAAAGTACAGACCCCTTTGTAAATGATTGCATGAATTTGGAGAGCACAGTTATATCCACATAGAATAAAATGTGACTAAAACTGTATTCTACTGACCCATTACACTTGTACAATACAAATGTATGCCAGCTTACAACAATCAACAAATCTGCCAAATAACACAGTGAATAGCTGCTTAATTTGGTCAACATGAAGGGCTAGACAATAAGGGTACTCGGACAGTCCGAGACCATAGTGAAATCTCCAGCTGGACTAGTTGTTCTAAAAAATTGATATTGCTTTTCTTGTAGAATAATATTGGGCAAGTGGACTTTGCACATGGACTAGTAAAAATTGGAAAGTACTATTGACTATAGTGGTATCCAAAATTAATGTCCAGTCCTGACAAGGTTATGATACACAGATACACACTGAATGCCCTTAGCTGCAACTCAGCCAAATATAGAGTCAGACCCCTTTGTTTGTAAAACTTTTGATTCTCATGGGCCAATCATAAAGCTGCTACCATCAAAATACTGTTTAAACATGCCTGTTGCAGTTTTCTTGACGATGATAGTTAAAACAAATCTTCTAATTTAAGCCCTTTTGACCCCTACCCTCTTCCCTTAGAAAGGTCGGCCAGTTATTTGCAAACATTTTGATCCCAATAAGCTAATTCTGCAATTCTGCATTTCGATATGGTTGAAATTGCTCAATACTTTGGACAATATTTCATTTAAATCAAATAAGGCAATTTCACCCCTGTAACCCACCTCTTTGCCCCAAGGAAGATCATAGCCCCAATACAACGATTGTACAATATGTATTTGTATGATTTTTATCCCCACATGCAAAGGATGATATTACCAAAATTTGGAAGAAATCTACTAGGAGATGTTTAATGTTTGACAGATGACAGAAAATGGACAAAGCAGCACCACCAGTTTTGTACCAGGTGAGCTTAAAATACTGTTAAATTGCATTGGTACAGTTGTTTTAATAGTCATACCCCTTCGAATTATAATTTTACTGGACTAATTTGATAATATGTTAATTCTGTTTGATTAACTTCCCCATACCTGTGTTTTATTTTATTTTATTGCTTTGACCATACCTGTATTTATTTTATTGGATTAACTTCCCCATACCTGTGTTTTTTTATATTAGTGCTTTGACTATACCTGTATTGATTTGGTTGGATGAACTAACCCCATACCTGTGTTATATTTGACTGGATCAATTTCCCCACACATGTACCTGTGTTATATTTGACTGAATCAATTTCCCCACATATGTACCTGTGTTATACTTGACTGGATCAATTTGACAACACATGTACCTGTGTTGTATTTGACTGGATCAATTTCCCCTCACATGTACCTGTGTTAAATTTGACTGGATCAATTTGACCACACATGTACCTGTGTTATATTTGACTAGATCAATTTCCCCACACATGTACCTGTGTTATATTTGACTTGATCAATTTCCCCACACATGTACCTGTGTTATATTTGACTGGATCAATTTCGCCACACATATACCTGTGTTATATTTGACTGGATGAATTTGACCACACATGTACCTATGTTATATTTGACTGGATGAATTTGACCACACATGTACCTGTGTTATATTTGACTGGATTAATTTCCCCACACATGTACCTGTGTTATATTTGACTGGATGAATTTCCCCACACATGTACCTGTGTTATATTTGACTGGATGAATTTCCCCACACATGTACCTGTGTTATATTTGACTGGATGAATTTGACCACACATGTACCTGTGTTATATTTGACTGGATCAATTTGACCACACATGTACCTGTGTTATATTTGACTGGATCAATTTGACCATACCTGTGTTGATTTTCTTCGACTTCTCCTGGTCCATACCACACACAGTTTGTTGGGTTGCCTGTAGACGAAATGTTACAATTGTTATACATATTTTCACATATGCTTTTTTTGCATCTACACCAAATAACCCTGTGCATGTGATCTCATCTAAATGGGTTACTGGGCATGTGACCTCATCTAAATGGGTTACTGTACATGTGACCTCATCTAAATCGGTTACTGTGCATGTGACCTCATCTAAATCGGTTACTGTGCATGTGACCTCATCTAAATCGGTTACTGTACATGTGCCCTCGTCTAAATCGGTTACTGTATATGTGACCTCATCTAAATCGGTTACTGTGCATGTGACCTCATCTAAATCGGTTACTGTACATGTGACCTCATCTAAATCTGTTACTGTACATGTGACCTCGTCTAAATCGGTTACTGTACATGTGCCCTTATCTAAATCGGTTACTGTGCATGTGACCTCATCTAAATCAGTTACTGTGCATGTGACCTCATCTAGAGCGGTTCCTGTGCATGTGACCTCATCGAGATCGGTTACTGTGCATGTGACCGCATCTAAATCGGTTACTGTATATGTGACCTCATCTAAATCTGTTACTGTACATGTGTCCTCATCTAAATCGGTTATTGTACATGTGCCCTCATCTCAATCGGTTACTGTGCATGTGACATCATCTAAATCGGTTACTGGGCATGTGACCTCATCTAAATGGGTTACTGGGCATGTGACCTCATCTAAATTGGTTACTGTACATGTGACCTCGTCTAAATCGGTTACTGTGCATTTGACGTCATCTAAATCGGTTACTGGGCATGTGACCTCATCTAAATGCGTTACTGTACATGTGACCTCGTCTAAATCGGTTACTATAAATGTGCCCTTATCTAAATCGGTTTCTGTTCATGTGCCCTCATCTAAATCTGTTACTGTACATGTGACCTCGTCTAAATCGGTTACTGTACATGTGACATCATCTAAATCGGTTACTAACTGTGCACGTGTATGTTGTGATATCATGATTGGATAACACTGACCATATCAGCTGGCTGCTGGATATTTTACATTGAATTTAAGCAACATATATAACATTTGAGTGCCAAACTGTTTTCAAATAATGCAAGTATTGAATGTTTGCATGGGATTTTACATCTTTCTACCAGCTATAAGGTCATATGACAACATTTTCTACAGAAGCTAGAGATTATATGACGACAGTGTGTACTGATGATGGGGCTACACAACAGCTAAGGTCATATGACGACAGTGTGTACTGATGATGGGGCTACACAACAGCTAAGGTCATATGACGACGGTGTCTACCGATGATGGGGCCACACAACAGCTAAGGTCATATGACGACAGTGTGTACTGATGATGGGGCCACACAACAGCTAAGGTCATATGACGACAGTGTGTACTGATGATGGGGCTACACAACAGCTAAGGTCATATGACGACGGTGTCTACCGATGATGGGGCCACACAACAGCTAAGGTCATATGACGACAGTGTGTACTGATGATGGGGCCACACAACAGCTAAGGTCATATGACGACAGTGTGTACTGATGATGGGGCTACACAATAGCTAAGGTCATTTGACGACGGTGTCTACAGATGATGGGGCTACACAATAGCTAAGGTCATATGACGACGATGTCAACAGATGATGGGGCTACACAACAGCTAAAGGTCATATGACGTCGCGACAGTGTCTACAGATGTGGCTACACAACAGCTAAGGTCATATGGACTTTTGAAAATGGTGTCACCTCTCCATTGCATTGGTCAAATTAAATTGTCATCACAACGAAATATTGTTACAGCCTAGTAACCTGGACACAGTAATGCGACACTTCATGATCACCTGGTCATCTTGTTTTTGACAACAGGCTGCTAACTAGAGGTGTTTAGGGAGACACCGCTACAAAGAGTAAGTAAGTGGGAAAAGAGATTGACAATAGACACCTCTTTTCTGGAAATCTGCAGGGAAGGTTATATAATTATAAGATATGTGAACATTTCTAAATGAATTATTCTACACAATGTACTTACCATTTCTTTGTACATTCAACCTCTAGTTCTTGGTACGAAGTCGTGAACTGGTATTTGGACGCGGATTTCCCGACTCGCTGGAGTCTTTTCCACACACTCATGTTACTGTGGTCAGTCTCACACTGGTCGGTGGTCAGTCTCACACTGCCCGTGGTCAGTCTCACACTGGTCGGTGGTCAGTTTCACTCATTCTGGTTAACACTTCCCAAGTCTGCAGAAATATCAAAATTGTGAATCAAATCATCAATCAAGTTCTAGACCTTCTTCACATCGGTCAACAATTCCAAAGCTACGAAACTGAAAACCAAATTTTTGGACAGTAATCAACTGGTCAACACTCCCAAGTGTGCAGAAATAAAATCTGACAATCAAATTCTAAACTTTGAGTGAATTCATATGCATGCATGTGGTCAACACTTTCCAGTCTAATGAAAAGATAATAAATATAACTTTTCACTTATATAGATCTTACTCATGCAGCCGGTCAACACTCCCAGGTCTACAGAACTTGTAACTGTTAATCAAAGTCTAGAGCTTTTAATGTGTCCAGGTGGAACTGAGACTGCAGAAGTTATCAACATCAATTGTCAAAAATATCCTGGCGAGGAATTCTGCAAATCACTGCAGTGAAGCACAAAATGTTGAGTCAGTCAAGATGATAGTTAAATTTAACAGTCACAGTACTAGTGTCACTCAAAAACTGTTACAACACTTGTATTCGCAGGTTGACGTCATCAAAAATTGCAATATTTTAGCTGAGTAAAGCTTATAAATATATAGTAACCCATCACATATACATACCACAGTGTAATGACCATGACATAATGTACTGTATATATCCACAAGCATATCCATGCCTATTAAAAGTTAATGTTAATTCTAGATCTACTATCAATTATAAATATATATCTCAGTTAAATATATACAGTATATACATATTGTACATGTACCTATAAAATGTATGCATGCATATAGGTTAAATCATCGTGTCAGTTTATAGATGCACATACATAATTACATTTCATAGTAAGATCAACTGTATCCCTGCAGTAACACACACGTTTATCAAGTTAAGGAAGTGGTTAGATTAAACACTTGTAATATACTAAAAGAATCCATCTCCTTCAGGCCACACCAACTTAGTTTATTTAAGGTTAGTTTTTAAAAATTTACATTTAAAAGGACAAGTATATATGAGTAAACAGTATAGAGAAAATAAAGAGAAATAAATAATGTATCCTTATTATCTTTTATCCAAAGGTCTCCATTTACACAAATGTGCATTTAAAATGTATTTTATTTCTATATTTATCTGAAAGATATGCAAGAGATTTGTTTTTCAATCCCATGCATGCACAAATGTATTAAATAATTTAGGCATGAGAAATATTTTTATCAAGAAATAATCCTTTTTTACGACATGTATTACATGCATTTATACATGTGATGTATTTTTTGTAATTTCAATTAAAACCCAAAACATTATAGCGTACTATTGACTTTAATTACTGTGTGAGTTAATATATTTTGAAAATAAAAATTGAATTTAGAAATATGTTAAAAAGGATTACCGAAAACATTACAGGCACACAAGACGTTTTTTTAACCCGAAATGTAAAACTATAAATATTTATCAAAAAATAATTCAGTCACACACGACTGTTTGTTTTTTCAGAAGTACCTGTGTACAATACATATCAATGTGTTTCACTTTTTAAAAGTCATACAAGAGGCTCAAAGGGCCGGCATCGCTAACCTGGTATATTTAGTCTCACACTTGTAACCTTAAGGTGATCTAAAATAAAGCTGCATTCATTTTGATTGGTGTGGCCTTATAATTATCCACATCAAAATTCTTACACACACACACACACACTTCATGTAATTATAAGCTGTAAACTGTTACATACCAGATATAATACAATACAATATAACCACAGGTATGTGTAATTAGAGATGGTCTTTTTCACTCTGTTCAGTTTAGTCTCAAACTGGCAATTATAAGATGTACAGATCTAGACATACTGTATAATCTGATGTCAGACATGCACACATGTAATACATTTATATTATGATAATAATAATAATAAGTTTTATCTAACCCTTTCACCCCTATATGTAACTTTAGTAGACTAATGCATGCATTGATCTGGATGAGTCCATTATGGTCTACAGTGGTGAAAGGGTTAACGAGGATGAATTCTGGGCAAAGGTCTAGATCTCCATTCACATTCAACATTCGACATGTTCAGCTGAATTTTTATAAGAATTCAATAACCCTTTCACCACTGTAGACCATATGGACTCAACCAGATTAATACATGGTAGAGTCTACTAAAGCTACATAGGGGTGAAAGGGTTAAATCTAATATGATTATAATGGCACTTACTCATTGCAAGCGAATAAAAATGAAAATACCGTAAAAACCCATGTAATTTGCGAACTATAGAAGGAAATAATGTTGAAGTTATATCTTTCAATGGTTTCACAAATAATATCAGCGATAGAAAGTTGCTTTTAGTACATGTACACCAAACATATCTAAATGGAAATTCCTTCAATTGCATGTTCATGTATATATGACATTTTAATTAAAAAATATTCTGATTTCCAGAAAAACAATTTCCCTTAAAACCTATCTCTCTAACTATTTACAAAGTATCTAGCTAGGAATTTCCTCTTTTTTAAGGAAAACACTGACATACCGATGCCATTGTACGTATACACACACAAGTGTGTTAAATCACACACATGTTTTTAATGTAATGTACTTGACATACCTACGCCCTATTTAAATATCCTCTTAACCCTTTCAACCCTATGTAACTTTAGCAGACTATGCTATGCATTGATCTGGATGAGTCCATTTTGGTCTACAGTGGTGAAAGGGTTAACATACATGTAAGTGGGGTAATGTTTTACTACACTTCACTTTACATGTTAAAACAAATATGTTCCACTAATATGCGACATGGATCGGGCATATAAATAATTAAAACAGCCAAAAATTCAGAATATAAAGCATTTTTTTAAAATCAACACAGAATTTTGAGAACATCTGTAATTAAAACTAGCACGTTCACATAAATGGTAATCAATAGTGTTATCTAAACATCCTTAATTAAGTTTGTTGAATCATGATCACGATCGATGAAAGCATAAATAAATTTTCAATGATCACTTATTTGATTGGTTTAGTTTGGTTTAGTATTTTTTAACATCCTATCAACAGCTATGGTCATTTAAGGACGGCCTCCCCTGTGTGCAAGATGCATGCGTGTAGTATATGCGTGTGTGTTTTGGGAGGCTGCGATATGTTCCTGTTTGTCTCCTTGTGATAGCGCGGAACTGATGCCGACTTTATAGTGCTACCTCGCTGAAACAAACTGATGAAGACACCCAGCAGGACACCCCACCCGGTCACATTATACTGAATACGGGCGAACAAGCCGTCCCACTCCTAAATTGCTGAGTGTTAAGCAGGAGTACAAACTACCATATTTACATACCTATCTAGACTCTGGTATGTCTCGGCCAGGGGACAGAGCCCAAAGCCTTCCTCACAGGGGCGAACGCTCAACTAAAGGCCAAAAGTGAGGCAATGTCAAGGGAGACATTAGGAAGAAGAAAGTTGTTTAGAAAGAAGAGAAAACATAAGATCCCAAATTTAGTCGCCTCTTACGATCATGCAATGAGGGCAGCAGGTACAATTCTTACGCCCTACCTGCACTTATTTGAAGATATGTTAAACTTACAAATTAATAAAAGGACATTATCCTTCCATCCTAATGCTATTTTTCATGTTTGCATTTTTTGTTTGATCTGAAGGTCAACTAGAACACTGACAGGTCAGTAAGGGCCCCGTCTTGTGGCAATATATCCCCCATAATCATCAAGAAGTAATCTGCCCATACAGCTGAGCTTTATGTTTGACATTTGGACTTCAAAAAGAATCGCAAGGAAGCAAAACAAACATTTTACATGTACTATGATGTGAGTCTTGTTTCCTTCCACCTCCATATTTGCTGGACTAACAGAAATGTAAATACCGGTGCAATACTCTTTTGTTATCTTTGATTTGTTTTATTTCACCTTATATACCTCCTCCATCAAGAGTCAGGGTCAAAGTCAGAGATCCACTTTGTCTTTGATCTTTGGACCCAAATGACCTTGACCATTAACCAAGTGACCCTGATCTTTGGTCAGTTGACTAATTCTTTAATTCTGACCAACTCTGCTTCATTAAATATCATAACAAAATGTTCATCAGTGAAAAATACAAAACTCGACCTTGACCCTTTGGACCCTGTAACTTGGACCGAAGGTCAGTTGACTCTGTGTTAAGTTCTGAACAAGTTTGCTACATAATAACATAAAAAAACGTTCACCAGTAAAAAGATACAATAATTGACCTTGACAATGACCACCGGACCTTGACCTTAAGTCGGTTGACTCCTTTTTAAATTCGGACCAACTTTGCTTCATAATGTCGTAACAAAATGTTCATCAGTGAAAAGATACAAAATTTGACCTTGACCTTTGACCCAACGATCTTGCCCTTTGGTCAGGTTGACTCCTTGTTTAATTCTGATCAACTTTGCTACATAATGTCATAACAAAATGTTCATCTTTGACCCAACGACCTTGCCCTTTGGTCAAATGACTCTTTGTTTAATTCCCACAAACATTGCTTCAAAGTGTCATTATGAAATATTTACCAGCAAAAAAATACACAATTTACCTTGACCTTTGACCAAATGACCTTGACTTTAAGTCAGTTGACTCTTTGTTAAATTCCGACCAACTTTGCTTCGTTAAGTCATAACAAAATGTTTATCAGGAAAAAAGATACAAAATTTGACAGTGACCTTTGACTCAGTGACTTTGAACTTTAGTCAATTGACTCCTTGTGTAATTCTGACCAATATTGCTGCCTAATGTTATAACAAAATGTTCATCAGGGAAAAGATACAAAATTTAACCTTCACCTTTGAGAAAGTGACCTTGACCTTTGGTCAGGTTGACATCTTGTTTAATTTTGATCAACTTTGCTTCATCATGTCATCAGTGAAAAGATGCAAAATTTGACCCTGACCTTTGAATTTAATGTCCTTAACCTTTGACCTCAACTTTTTACCTCAGTGTGTTTCTTTGTTTTATTCCGAACAACTTTGCTTCATAATGTCATTAAATGCTCATTAGTGAAAAACTACAAAATTTGACCTTGACCCCTGACCTGATGACCTTGACCTTTGGTCAGTTGACTCCTTGTTAAATTCTGAGCATCATTGCTTCAGAGTGTCATACCAAAATGTTCACCAGTGAAAAGATACAAAATTTAACCTTGACCTTTGACCCAATGACCTTGACATTTGGTCAGGTTGACTCCTTGTTTAATTCTGATCAACTTTGCTACATCATGTCATAACAAAATGTTCATCAGTGAAAAGATGCAAAATTTGACCTTGACCTTGAACCTAGTGACCTTGACCCTTGACCTTGACTTTTTACCACAATGTTTATTTTTGTGAACTGAACATCTTGACCACGTTTCATGTACATCGGTCAATAAATACTTAAGTTATCAGCCAGGAACAAATTTGTGGAAGGACAGACAGACAGACAGAGTGATTAATATAGGGCACCCGTATCTCCGATACGGGGCCCTAATTAGCTACATAAGTATTTACATGTATTAATACAGGCAACATCATTGATGATCTGAGAGTACATCAGTAAAGCTATAAATATTTGTGAAGAAAAACCATGCTTTCATGTCTGACGACTGAGAAAATTATCTTCAATAATTTCTGCAATTTGATCTTCACATCAAGTACA